TACATGTTTGATGAAAGGACAAATACTGTGTGATCTCACTTATATGAAATATTCTGAGGTAAAGGCGAGAGACCGAAGTTGATTAGTGGTTGTCAGGGGTAGGTGGGAGAGGAAAGGGGAAGACATTGTAAAGGAAGCTGTGAGTTGCACCTCATGGTGAAGAGAAATTTGGCAATGATTATTGGTGATCGTTGCCATCGTGATGAATGTAATTTTGTTGCTGTTAATTGCCGTCAAGTCGGTTCCAACTCATAACAACCCTGTGTAGGGCTTCCGAGGAGCAGCCGGTGGGTTTGAACCGCCACCTTGCAGTTCCCATCAACCTTGCAGTCCAGTGTTTATTCTATAGCGCTACACCAGGAGTCTGATTAATGTAATAGATATCATGAAATTATACACTGGAAAATGTGTTTATATATAGTTACATAACTCCTACTTCCATCGAGAGTCAATTCTGACTCATATAGACTCTACAGCACAGAGCAGAACTGCTCCCAAAGGTGCCCGAGATTGAGAATCTTTGCAAAAGCAAGGTTTGACCCTTGCAATTAGCAGTCCAATGCTTAACACATGGTGCCACCAGGAATCTTTCTTTGTATATGTTGGTAGAGTCCTGGTGTGGTGCTGTGGGTTAATACGCTGGACTGCAAAGTTAATTTGAACTAACTGCAAAGCCAGCGGTTCAAGCTCACCAGCTGCTCCTCGGAAACCCTACATAGGGTCATTATGGGTCAGAACTGACTCAATAGCACTTAACAACAAATATCTGCTGTTGTTTGTGCTGTCAAGTCGGTTCCAACTCATAATGACACAGAACCAAGCACTGCCCAGTCCTGCTTCATCATCCTCACAATTGTTCCATTTCAACCCGCTGCTGCTTCCACTGTGTCAACCCATCTCCTTGGGAGTTTTCCTCCTTTACTGACTCTCCATTTTCACTGTCCTCCAGGAGCTAGTGTCTCCTGGTAACATGTCCAACCATGACAGACAATTCTGACTTCTAAGGAGCATTTCAGCTATACTTCTTCAAACACCGATTTGTTTGTTCTTCTAGCAGTTCACGGTACTTTCAAAATTCTTCATCAGTTCCATAATTCAAATGCATCACTTCTTCTACTGTCTTCCTTATTCACTGTTCAGCTGTTCCATCCAGATGAGGCTATTGAAAACACTATGGCTTGGGTCAGGCGCACCTTAGTCCTCAAACTGCTATTTCTGTTCTTGAACACTTTAAAGAAGTCTTGTGCAGCAGATTTGCCTAATGCAATACATCATTTGATTTCTTGATTGCTACTTTCATACTCATGACTCATACTATTGACTGTGGATCCAAGCAGAATAAAGTCTTTGATAAGTTCAGTCTTTTCTCCTTTTATCATGTTGTTATTCACTGGTCCAGCTGTGATTTGCTATCTTTATATTCAAGTGCAATCCATACTAATGGCTGTAGTGTTTGATCTTCATCAGTAAGTATTTCAAGTTCTCTTCCCCTTCAGCAAGCAAGGTTATATTATCTTCCTATTGCAGGATGTTAATGAGTCTCCCCTCAATCTTGATGCCACGCTCTTCTTCATATTTTTCTAATATTTTAAAAATCTTCTTGATGGATTATTTGCTCAGTATACGAATTGAATAAGTATGGTGAAAAGCTACAACCCTGGCACACACCTTTCCTGATATTAAATCATCCCGCATCTCCAGGTTCTGTTCGAAAGATTGCGTCTTGGTCTACATACAGGTTCCTCATGAGCACAATTAAGTGTTCTAGAATACCCGTTCTCAGCAATGTTGTCCATGGTTTGTCATGATCGACAGTCTAGAGCCTTTGCATAGTATATAAGGCATAAGTAAACATTTTTCTGGTATTCTCTGCTTTCAGCCAAGATCCATCTGGCATCAGCAATGATATCCCTAGTTCTACATCTTCTTCTGAATCTGACTTGGATTTCTGGCAGTTCCATGTCAATGTATTGACGCAAATGTTTCTGAATTATCTTTAGCAAAATTTCACTTACGTGTGATATTAATGATATTGTTCAATGATTTCTACATTCTACTGGATCATCTCTCTTTGAAATGGACACAAATACGGATCTCTTCCAATCATTTGGCCAGGTAGCTGTCTCTCAGATTTCTTAGTATAGAAGAGTGAGTGTCTCCAGGGTGTAATAACTTGTATTCCATCAATTTCGGGAGCCTTGTTTCTCAACAATGACTTCCTTTAGTACCATTGGCTCTTGATCACATCCTACCTCTTGAAATGGCTGAACATCAATCATTTCTTTTTGATACAATAACTCTGGGTATTCCTTCCACCTTCTTTTGATGCATTCTGCATCGTTCAATATTTTGCCCATGTTGTTGTTAAGTGCCGTCGAGTTGGTTCTGACCCATAGCAACCCTGTATAGGATTTTCAAGGAGCAGATGGGGAGTCTGCACCACCGACCTTACAGTTCAAACCGACTTTGTAGTCCAACGCATTAACCCACAGCACCACACCAGGACTCCATTTTGCCCATAAAATCCTTCAATATTACAAGTTGAGGTTTGAATTTTTTCTCCAGTTCTTTTGCTTAAAAGATGTTGAGTGTGTTCTTCCCGTTTGGTTTTCTAACTCCAGGCCTTTGCACATTTTATTATAATACTTGACTTTGTCTTTTCAAGCTTCCCTTTGAAATTTCTGTTCAACTCTTTTTACCTCCTCATTTCTACCATTCACGTTAGCGTCTCTACACTGGAGAGCAAGTTTCAGAGTCTCTTCTGACATCCATTTTGGTCTTTTCTTTTTTTCCTGTCTTTTTGATGATCATTTGGCTTCTTGATGACATCCCACAACTCTTCTGGCCTCATACATCAAATTTGTTCTTGAAATGATCTCTTAATTCAGGTGGGATATGCTCCAGGCCAAATTTTGACTCTCGTGGACTTGTTTTAATTTTCTTCAGCTTTGGTTTGAACTTATGATGATGGGCAACCAATGGTCTGTTCCACAGTCTGCCCCTGTTCTTGTTTTGGCTGGTGAAACCGAGCTTCTCTATTGTGTCTTCCCACAGATGTAGTCAATTTGATTCTTGTGTATACCATCTTTTTGTTGTTGTTGCTAAGTGCCATCGAGTCGGTTCTGACCCACAGCGACCCTGTATAGGGTTTCCAAGGAGCAGCTGGTGAGCTTGAACTGCTGACCTTGCAGTTCAAACAACTTTGCAGACTGGCGCATTAACCCACAGCGCCACACCAGGACTCCATCTAGTGAGGTTCAAATATATATGCGACTTAAAAAAAGGTATTTGCAATGAGGAAATTGTTGATCTTACAAAATTCTGTCATGCAATCTCCAGCATCATTTCTATCATGAAGGCAATTTTTTCCAGATACTGACTCCTCTGCTTTGTTTTTGACCTTCACATTCCAATCACCAATCACCAGTAATTATCAGTGAATCTTGATTGCATGTTTGATCATCCTCAGACTGAAAAAGATGATAGAATTCTTCAGTTTCATTATCACTGGATTTAGTGGTTGGTGAGTAAGTTTGAAGAATGGTATTAACGCATCTTCCTTGTAAGCATATGGATAGTACCTTGCGGAAGACAGATGGTTGGATTTGGGATATATGTGAAGGCAAAAGAAAAACAAAACCCAAATCTACTGCTTCAAGTCCATTGTGATTCACAGCAAGCCTGTGTGAAGGTAGACGGGGTAATGTTGGTTGAGGAGGTTGGTCCTGAGACAACATGTTTTTTGTTCTTCAAGAACATAGTATGTCAGAAGCTAGAGGGAGCAGCTTGGCCCCAGGAGAGGGGACAGTGGCTACAGGGATCAGCGAGAGAGGACGCTATGTCTGCCCAATGGGAGGCAGGAAAAAAAACTGACCTTTTCTTTCACCAATAAACTTGGATTTTCAAGATATGCATTGAGGAACCAGTTAGCTTCAGTTCAATTCTGTAAGTGTATGTGTGTGCGTGTGTGTTTAATTATTGTAAATATTAGTGTGTGTGTGTGTGTGTGTATGTAGGATGAGCAGCATTGGACTGCCAACCACAAAGTTGGCAGTTCAAACCCACTAACTGCTCCTCAGAAACCCTATACAGGGTCACTATGAGTCGGAACTGGCTCAACAGCACTTAACAATATGAGTCCGTTTAAAAACTGCTACACTGCTGTATAGTCCTGGTGTGGTACTTCAGTATAGCACTGGACTGCTAACTGCAAGGCTGGAGGTTCAAACCCTCCTGCCATTCTTCGGAAACCCTATACAAGGTCACAAAGAGTCAGAACTGACTCAACAGCACTTAACAACAACACAGTGCTCTTTGTTCCCCAATTCATACCCCCAGAACTCCTTATCCCCATCTGCAATGAAATGAGTTCCTTTCTGTGAGCTTAAAAGATTTTTTCCTTGAGATGAGACCTAAGGAGTTTTTGCTCCAGTTTTCTATCCCAGAGGGTTTGTTACCTTTGGGGGAGGGTTCAGCTGTAGGTATGGCCCATGAGTTCTGTGTGGGTGCTGCAATGGATTATTGAACCAAGAAGAGAAGTGGAGAGTACCATGGGAGGTACGTCTGACCTCCACATCATGGGAATCAGCTTTGCACTGATGGCAGTTTTCATCATTTCTCCTCATGAAATTAAAAGGTTCTGGAGCTACTTCAGATACTGTTACTTTATTCTGCTTTATTCTTCTCCATGGCATGCATCTCCTACCAATAGAACGTACTTAGGTAATTCCTTTGTTTATCTGCCATCTCCTCCCACTAGAATACAAACCCCACCAGACAGAAAGGTTGCCTGATTTGCTCACCCATGGGGTACCCACAGCACTTAAGCCCAGTGCCTGGCATATGACCCCTCCCTGACCGAGGCGCAGTAAATCTTTGCAGACTGACTCAAAGTAAACAAAAGGCCAAGTAAGTGAGCAATAGTGTTTGCCCAGGTCTTGATTCTCAGATTCCTGTCACTCCTGGGCAACCATGAGGAACTCCTTCCCCATCCACCTACCTCAGAAGTTGGGTGTGACACAGGATACATTCCCACAACCATTGCGGCAGCATTTTCTCTGGTCCGGACAGTCGCTGTCTACCTGGCACTGATCCTGGCAGATGCCAAGTGGGAGAATGCCTGTGTCCAGTCGGGGGCAGGAGCCTGGCTTTTCTGATAGAAAATGAAAGGAAAAGCTGGTGGGCAAAGGAGATGCAAGGAGATGCCCCCTATCCTCAGCCCCTTGTCCTGGTTTCGCAAATAGTAGACGTGACTGCCTGGAATCATCCCAGAGGGCCTAGGAAGACCACCTGCAAACTCCTCCTCCCCATGATCCCACATAGTTTGGGAATTCTAGGACTTCAGATTGAGTCCTAATTCTGCCAGATCCGAACTTCATAACCTATGGCCAGAACTTGTCCAGAGCCCCCAGATCACGGACCGACCAATGGAGACAAATTTCTCCCGGAAAGACCAAGCTGCTTTGAAATAATAAGGATAATGAGCCATTCCGGACAGCTAACAGTTAGCCCCTAGAACACGCCAGGCCCACCTATCTCTCAGTTGGTTGTACTGTGGTGGGGTGGTTTGGTGTGATAGTGCAAGCTAAACCACTATTAGTTCAAATACCAACAGAGTCATCCATGATGAACAGGTTTTCAGCACAGCTTCCAGACTAAGTCGAGGAAACAAAGCCAGACAATCTATTCCTAAAAGTTAGCCAATGAAAACGTGATGGCTCACAGAGAACACTGTCCAACTATTGCTCGCTATAGTGAGGTCATCTGGAGGCTAGGGCTCTAGAAGATATCATGTTTGGTAAGTAGAGGGTCAACTAGGGCATGGGTGACTTTCAGCAAGATGCATCAGCACAGTAGCCACAACAGTGGACTCACACATGCCAGTATGAGCTCGACACAGGATCTGGTAACGTTTTGTTCTGCTGTAGACAAGATCACCATGAGTCAAACTAACAACAGGTGCCGGGCATTATTCTAAGCACCTGCCATGTAGTAACTCAACTTAGCCTCGTGTTATAAATGAGGACACTGAGGCACAGATTAGTTAAATAACTTGCCTACGGTCATATTGCTTAGAGGCAGCATTTGAACCCCAGGAATTCTGGCTCTAGAGGCTATGGGCTAACTATTATGCATGATGATGCTTCACAAGCCATAGTGTGCAGTGTAACATGTGACAGTTTGCACACTGACAATCTCTTACTCACGGTTACAATTACACAGCATTATGGCTCCCCAGACACACTCACTCATCCATACACAATCACACCTTCTTTCACTAACACACACACTAACAGTTAGCAGTGATGTGCCTTTGACAAAAGCCCTATGAGCAAATCCATTCTCTTCTTTAATGCTCACATCAACTATCTCCTTGGTAGGGAAGGTTTTTAACCCCGTTCAGGTCACAGATGAGGAAAATGAGATGCTACCCAACACCACCAGGAGGTCCACAGCACGTAACCACCACCACCACCCAACACTGCCGCTCCGAAGTAAAACCAAGACCTGAGCCTTCTAACGTCCGTTCCAACATGCTGGTTTGTACATAGCTTATCCCATTCCACCTGAGATCATCACGTGTATGTGTGTGTATACACAATCCACTTCCTAGACCAATGAAGGGGGAAGTGAGGCTATCATCCCAAAAGCCCCAGGGGCAGCTCTAGCTAAACTTAAAACACAGATAATAGATTAAGTGATTAGCTCCAGAAGACACGAATGGTTATCTTCCGGGCACAAAGAAATCCATTCCCTTGAAAAGAAAGCAGAGGTCCCGATTCCAGGCTCCCCTGAGACAAAAGGGATAGGAAATCCATTTCTAACAACACAAGTCCCTGTGTCTTGGGTATCTAGTCTTTAACAACATACTTTATGTGTACTATTTCATTTAGCCCTCATGCCAATTCGGTAAAGTCTGCATTCTTTTGCAGATCAAAAAGCAAGAGCCAGAGTGATAAAGTGACTCACTCAAGATAACCCAGTTTGGAAACATCAAAAGGAGAATTCAAACTTTCAAGCTACCTCCCTGGCTCAGGAGGCCATCTTGCCCTGTCTCTCTTTTTTGCCTCAGTCTGTCCATCTGAGACAAGGGCACAAACTCTTCATCCATCTAACAGCAAAAGTTTGATGGGCCAGCCCTCCCTCCGCATAAGTGTGTATGTTGTTAACTGTTACGGAGTTGGCCTCATGCACAAAGGAAGGAAATGGTGACAATGTTCTGGATTACACATTTCAGATCAATAGCTGATTTTTACAAGGACATCCAGGCCTTTCTTCCTGGTCTATCTTAATCTGGAAGCTCCATGGTAACCTTGTTTAGTATCATAGCAACATTCATAAATCCACTAACAGACAAGTGGTGGGTGCATATGAGCTACATGCACCCCAGGGTCCCCCCACAAGGAGAGAACCTCCCTGAACCACCCCACTGCTTTCTCATGGATGTCTGGGCTCCTTGATTACAAAGCTTTTCAGCCCTTTTGGCATCTTTAATGCAATAACAGAGAAAATACGACTGGGCTCTAATTTGAGTAGAGAGGCCCGTAGTAATTGTATTTCCGGGCTCCATCACATCCCCACCTCTAACCCTCAGTTTTTTCCCCCCTGTAGAAGGAGAAGCTGGGATTCATGCTGTCTAGGGCCATTTCCCGCTCTGATGACGCTGTGAAGACTTGCTCTCTCAAGTGCCTTTCACAGAGCACCCAAGTTACCCATCTTGCTCAACCCTTAGCATAGAAGGAAGGGATGGTTTTAAAAATAAGGAAGGAAATGGAGAACGAAATTTCAAGGGAAGAAGCCTGGCTTGCTTCAAACCATCCAGGCAGAAGCTGAGCCCGGTCATTAGGACTCAGGCCTAACCACTTGATGGCGGTGTGACCTTGGAAAAGACCCTTTACCACTGGGTCCGCTCACGTCCACAACTTTAGATGAACTGGAGTCTCTTTCCGCCTGGACTGAGGAATCTAGGGTGTCCTGCCAGGCCAGGCGCTCCAAATCCTTCCCCTAGAGAAGGAGGACCCCTGTACTCCACGAGGGATGAGCACCCCAGGCCTGGGGGCCAGCTCTCAGCATTAGGCTTCCCCGCAGGCTCCTGCCGCCGGGTCCCGGGCGCCCGGGGAACAATGTCCCGCTGTGCGCACCGGGAAACCGGTCACGCACCAGAGACTTGAATCCAGTCCAGGTGGGGGCCCCCTCCTATTCAGCTGCGCTTCAGCGACGCCTTTGTCTCTCCGATGGCCAGGTCAGAGAGGGGACCACGAGTCTGGTTCCATCGCCTTGAAACTCCCCTGGGTCCCTGGGCCGGACCCGTCATCCTGCCCCTTCCCCGCGCTCAGCCCTCCCGGGTCGCCTCGGGGTTACCATCTGGGAGCACGCAGAGGGCTGAACAGCCCGTCCGGCAGCACTTGAGGTAATTGGCGCAGTCTCCATCCGAGAAGCACTCCTCCGTGCAGTTTTGGTCGATCGCGAGCTTGGGGCACACGCCTGCTTTCTGTCCTGTGCAGCGGAGGACAGGGGGACAGTCAGCAGTGGGCCAAAGTCCCAGAGGACGCCCACCTACCCTGGAGCCCCAAATTTCACCTCTGGCCATCGGACTCCCTTACAAAGTACCTAAGAACCCCTGAGCTCAGAGCCCTCAAATCTCAGCCTTTAGAAGGTCCCCCACCCACAACAGCTGAGGCTCTAGGAGCTCCCAAAGGACCCTCCTCTTCTTGTCAGCCTCCCCGTCAGCAGAGTCCTGCCGTCAAGCTGCAAGGTCACCACTTTTAGGCCCCAGGGGCCCCCAAAGCCTTTATGGGTCTCCCCACATCCACCCCCGGAACCCTGACTTGTGCAGCGCGGGAAAGGGTAGGCGGTGGCCGGCAGGGTCCTGCGCTCCCCAGCCCACTCACCTGCGTCGCCGTGGCCCGGCGGCAGATCGAGCAGCAGCAGGCCCAGCAGAAGGGCAGCGGCGAGCGGACCGAGGAAGCGTGCAAGCATGGTGTTAGCAGGGCGGGTGCAGGTGCGAGCCGGCCGAGCAGGGGGATTTAACCGCGGGCTCCGGGGGGCGTGGGGGGGGGCGGGGCCGAGGCGGCCAGGCAAAGGACTCACGGGGCCGGCGGGCCGGTTGCCACCTCAAGCCATTTCACAATCCCCCGGGATCAGGTGTCGCTCTTGGCCCCTGTGGGAACCAGGAACCTTAACAGCTTCCAGGCCGACACAACTCGGTCAGCTGCAGCCGGACACTTGTCCACCCCTCTTTGTCTTTCTCCCTCCCCAGGGCTGAAGGCAGGGTAGCGGGAAACAGGAGCACAGGTCCGGGATTCCTGGGTTCTGATTCCAAGAATAGGGGTCTTCCGGTAATGAATGCCCCAGGGTGGGGAGAAGAAAAAGACTGAGAGGCAATACAGCCCAGGGATTAAGAGGTTGGATTTAGGGTCAGCCAGATCAGAGTGCAAAACCCCTCTCAGGGATTAGTGATGGCCGCCTGGTGGATTGATGTAGAGTCGGCAGTAGGGGTTTGGGTTTAAGCCTAGAAGGGAGAACCGTTCCACGTCGGTAGTTGCCAGAGAGGGAAAAACTGACCAGGAGACAGTCCGACAGACATTTGTTTATTCCAAAGTAATACTGCATCCAGTGTTGGCCACCTGTTCAGCCAGGGGCATGTGCGAGGGTCTTTTTATATCATGGGCTAAGCAAGCTTCTTGTGTCCTGGCACTTAGGGTGATTTGCAGCACACAGAAGGAAAAGGCAGGAAAATCCACAAGGCTGTCTGCCCCTTCCTAACTAAAGCTTGAGAACCAGGAGAACAAAGAGTTTTGGTATGCAAAGCAGGGTGAGGGGGCTGCCTGCCCCTTCCTAGCCCCTTCCTAGCGTAGGTATCTAAAGTCTAAGAACAAAGAGTTTGGGTTTGCATAGCAAGAGCACGGGAAGGGGATAGGATAAATGGTTTGGGCTAACATCCGAGTTGCCATATTGGAGTATTTTAACTCTATCCCATTGGTGTTGTGAAGTGCAGTTGAGTGTGTTCTGACCCATAGCGACCCTGTATAGGGTTTCCAAGGAGCAGCTGATGAGCTTGAACCGCCAACCTTGCAGTTCAAACCACTTTGCAGTCTGGGGGCGGGGGGCTTAACCCACAGCACCACACCAGAACTCCCTATAGCGTAATAGAAATAGCAGTGGTTATTTTTAAATAGAAACCAGTTACCTGGACAACCAACTGGGAGAGATTCAGATTCATTCCCATTCCAAAAAAAAGGTAATGCAACAACAGAATGTGGAAATTGTCAAACAGTATCAATAGTATCACATGCAAGTAAAATTGTTAAATATTTCTAGTATGATTGCAAAAGTACATTGACAGGGAACTGCTAGAAATTCAAGTTGGACTTAGAAGAGAATGTGGAATAAGGGATATCATTGCTGATGTCAGAGGGATCTTGACTGAAAACAGAGAATACCAAAAAGATGTTTATCTGTGTTTTGTTGACTATACAAAGGCTGTGTGGATCATAACAAATGATAGAAAACATTACAAAAAATGGTTATTAGGTTGGGTCAGAGTCACCGGGTATGAAAGAATTCACAGTATGGAGGTGCAGAAAGCTGTATTCACTTTCCAAGGGAGGAAAGGAACCTAATACCTGAGTGCTGGCCCTGAGGGTTGGGTGTTCCAGGATTTTACTGGATTGGGTTTTTGTTTGTTTGTTTGTTTTTAACAGGGACTGTGGTACGGGCGGGCGGCAGATTTACAACATAAAGGATGGCGCCCTCTTGGCTAGTATAACAGGATATTGGTAGGTGATTTATGTATAGTCCATCTGGGTGAGCATCACAGAATTTTAAGAGGTGATTAAAGATATTGCCCATTGCTCGACATCTGGGAAGTCAGTCATTTATGGCCGCTGGGACGAGTTTAGGGAGTTGCTCATCCTGCAAAACAAGCTCAGCAAAACCAACTGGGGTCATATAGGAATTTAAACACTGAAACTGAGTCCTTTCAAATGGAAATTCTAGAACACTTAATTGTGCTCAAGCAAAACCTGGCTAGAGTTAAGAGTGAAGCAGCCAGCTGGTCTGAAGAGGGGGAAGGCATGTGAGAACTCCCAAAATTGCAGACAGTGCCCATTTGACCTAGCTGGATGGTTTATTGACCAGAATTTGACCAGATAAAGATAAAGATGTATGATACAGGGAGCAAGCATAAATTGCTACAACCTGATAACTGGACTTTTGCTTATAGATGAAGTTGCCCAAAATTCAACCAAAATGGAAGGATTCATCATATCAAGGATCAAGCTTGCCTCCTCAGTACAGTGGGTTGATAGCGATCCCACAACTTAGACTTCGGCTATCAAAAGTGGGGGATATAAAGACATGAGAAAGATGAAGCTTTCTGCTCCCGTAAAGATTTACAGCCTCGGAAATTCTGTACAGGGTCGCTATGGGTCAGAACCGACCTGACGGCACTTAACAACATAAAGGCATGAAGTGGCTGGCTTCCCAGCTCTCATGAGGGTGCTTAGTGTCAGAATTAGGGGAGTAAGAATCCCCACTGAATAGTTTTCCTCTTGTCCAGATAGGTCTAGTGATGAGGGGGATAGGATTTTATGATCCAATTGTGAGTAATTATTATTAGGACTAATGGTGATTGTCACAACTGTAAATGTTGTTGTTGTTGTTAAGTGCCATCAAGTCGGTACAGACTCATAGCGATCCTATGCACAACAAAATAAAACACTGCGCTGTCCTGGGTCAACCTCACAATTGTTGCCACACTTGAGCCCATTGATGCTGCCACTTTGCCAATCTATCTCACTGGGGGTCTTCCTCTTTTTCTCTGACCCTCCAC